CTGGCAACATCGTTTTATGTTTCAGACAATGAAAATTATCTAGGGATGGTAGGTTAGTGTCTCAATAAGTTAGTAGAAAATAAGGCCCAATTATTTTTATTTTGCGATTTTATAGGTTAGAATAAACAAATTTCTTAACTGGTTGGTGTTAAATTTTTCCTTTTTTACAAAAGATGGTCCTAAAATAAACATATAAGATCGCTATTATTCCAATTTGAAATGTCTTATAAATGACAAATTTAACAAATAAAAGACCAGTAGCATCTGTCTTTGTTATTATTGGTCCGACTCAAACAGATAAAACGTAGGATAAGTAGAAACATCATATAAACGTAATTTAATGAAAAAACCTGGGCTATAGGACCGACGAATTTAGTGGACTGGGAGCCCCATAGCTACTCTACTCAGATCAGAACCTGCAATTTCTTCAGCATATTTCATTTGCGTTCCATTTTTGTGCAATATAACTACGATTTTCTTATTTTCGCATTACACTTTTGTATCCTATCACCATATTCTTTGACATTTTTAATTTTTTATAAAAAATCCTTAGTAAGATTTTTATTAATCATTTCTATTTACTAATGAAACTACTAAATTCATATAGAGCAAACACTTTGGACTACGCCATTTGCAAATATTTGCACACCATACAGGATCCTCCAAGTCGACGGTACAGCGTGTCCTACATGAAGAACTCCTTCACCCCTACCATTTACAATGCGTACAAGCTTTTTGCCAGTGGCGGTTTGCCCGTAAGGGCACGTGCCCTAGTATATTAAACGAAAAAAATAACTTACATATTTTATATTTTTCTCAATGCCTATTATTATTTTATCTAATATTCAGCGCAAACCGCGTTGGCGACACTGGACGGCCGGGCGTTTAGCGACGTTCTGAGAATTTCGAAATTAAGTTGAAGATGGACACAGGGCACAGTAAATGTGTGCCTCTGTTGTTTTCTCTCTCATTATGATGCGAAAAACAAGGACAACGACAATATCGCTTAGCAAGAGATGAACACATGCGATGGATTATACGTCACAAGCGGGGCGCTGTCCTTACCGGCTCCCTCACAAAGGCGATGCCGGTTTCGGCTTAAGGTGCGCGTTTGTTGGACCATGATAATAACTTATTTATTGTGATTACGAAAAAACGTTAGTTGGACCATTGGAATAGTTAAGAAATAAAACTACAAAGAAAAATAACTTTTTCTATAAAGCAGTCAAAAATATGATGAAAATAAATCAATATTTATAAATGGGACAAAATTTTAATTTTTCTTTTAGTTTTGTCTGACTTTTTCGAGAATTTCAAATCTCTATTTGCATATTTAAGAGAATAAAAAAGTCTGTACATTTTCGCAAATTGTTGGCAAGGATGAACAAATTCTATTTTGCTCATCTCAAAAAGGTAGGCGTTGGAAATTCCAGGTTTAGTTGACAAATTATCAAATAGTGATATAAATATTTTTACGTACGCTTTAAAATGCTCCTACACGATGGAATTTTACATCGAAGTGTGTCAATACTATTTATGTTTATAAAGAGAATTTGATTAAATGTTTCGAAGAAATTATGAATGCGAAAAAAATGAATTCGATAAATCTGTCGAAAACTCAAGGTCGAAAAAAATCATGATTCCTATACTTTCCTTATATCTGTATACAGATAGGAAAGTAAAAAAACTTATTCGGTCCATTCCAAATTTTAATAATCTGGTCATCGATCACTTGGCTAGCCAAAAATCCAGAAGAATGGACTTTAACTATAAGAAATAGTATACAACTGCAGCGGCACCTAGCAGTTAGTCTTCAATTTTGTAATATTTAATTTGTTTTGAAATATATTTAATTTTCATTAAGGGAAAAACGAATCCCGGGATTCCTTTCCAGTGTGTGCCGCTAGTGCCCACGAGCCGCCACTGCTTTTTGCCAATGGTTTTTAGATCATAACTTAATAGGTCCTCACTTGGGAAGAAAACTATTGTTTACTGATGAGGCTTTTAATAACATTTGGGATAATAAAAATTCCCATGGTATGGTCTTTAGAAGACACTTGAAACAATTTTCTGCAAACATGTGGGCTGGTATTGTTTAGTTGCTGTCTGCTCGTTTTAACGCAGACATTTATCTCTATTTTCTGTAAAATGTTTTGCCTCTATTATTAGAAAAGTTCCTTTAGATATTAAAAATAACATGTGGTTTCAACATAATGGGGAACCTACGAATTTTGGAAGAGGAGGTCCCGTGGCATGGCCCGCGTGTTCTCCAGATCTTAACCCCTAGATTTTTTAAATAAACAAAATACTTTTCATTCTACAGACAAAAAAAATAACTTAAATCTGAAAACAACTATCTACATCTATAGTGACCAAAAATGTGTAAAAAAAACGTATAAACTTAAATAAAATTTTATTATTAAAACTTAGAAACAACCTCAGTAACACTAGCTAAAATGTGCGTTAAAAATTTGGCATATAAAAAGGAACCTGCATTTCTTTAGCAAGCGCATCCTGTATCATCCTATCTTATTCCTTTCCATCATGGCCTCGATTATTCTTTCGTCGGGTTCATTAGCCATGGCCATCTGCGTTAGAAATTCCCAATACTCCCAGCTTTCCTCATCTAGAGAAACAAGCCTGTTAAAAATTAATAATAAACTAATAAGTAATGAGTTTTCAATAAAATGGTAACCACCTTTTTGAAAAACCCATCAGATGCTTCCATTAAAGCTCTTAAGCATAAGCTGTTTTACAAGATTAAAAAAAAACTTCATGAATGAACTATTTATATGATTTTATTAAGTTTTTAATGCCTTTTCAGTGTTTTTCAATAGGTTTTCAATGTTTGTAAATGTTTTTTTAAATATTTATAAATCCTTTTTAAATTTCTGTTTTTTAAATGTGTTTTTAAATGTTTTTTTTTTTTTAAATGTTAATTAAATATTTTTTATTTTTTAATGTTTTCTTAATTTTTTATTTTATAAATGTTTTTAAACGCTTTTTAAATGTTCTTTACATTTTTAAAATTTATTCTTAAATGTTTTTTAAATGTTTTTTAAATGTTTTTAAATTTTTTTTTAATGTGGGTTGTCCTGTAGATGTAATATCTGTACGAACCTAGTAGTTTTAAAAACCACTATACAAAATTAAGTTCAATTCTCGAGGAAACAAGAAAAAATTAATATTACTAAAAGAAAAGTTTATTATTAGAACAAAATTGAACAGTGTCTGACAAAATTAATAAATCCTAATACATTTATGATTATTCCAAAATTGGTTGATTGTGATTAATAGTATTTAAATGTTATAAAAACGTAAGTATTGTTAAAAATGTATAATACAATATATGATGGAATAAGTAATACAGTGTATAACAGAGAGAAGGATGTTGCATATACAAAAAACTGCGTTAATTTTTTTTAATTTATCAACCAATAATGAAAAAATAAGTATAAAGGAATAAAAACTGTTTAAACAATAAATGAATATAAAATAAATTTTGCAAAGAGCAAAAATAAAAACCTAGAATTAATAATATAATACCTACAATAATAATAATAAGAGTTCAGTTGTATTAGAATATTTAAATCAAAATTTCTGAAATACAAAACAAAAATGCTCATAAAGATGAAATGTAATACAGATAAGAATTGTTTTTTAATTATTTTCGTTTAAATATTCAAAAACAACATTCAAAGTCAAAAAAAATATTGTAGATTAACATTTTTAGTTTTTATAATTTTTTTTTGGTACTTAACATTTATGAATTAAAAAAAAAATTACTAAGTTTCGTCATATTAATTATATAATTTGAAGCTTTTTTAGGCAATCATTTAATGAACTATGATATTTAAAATTATAAAACTTAAATGTACCTACAAAAAACATTTATATTTACTCAACCAAATTCAGCATCTCAGATCCTTTAGATACGTAATAACATATTTGTTATAAAGAGGCAAACAAATATGACAGCATTGGACTGAACTGGCTGAAATATTATTAGCAGCTGATTCAAAGAAAACTTTCACTATAACTTGGATAAATTAAAAAAAAAACATTAAAAAAATTATGAACACTAAACAAAAAGCTAATAATATTCTCAGAAAAACACGAAATATAAATAAAATAAGTAGAAAGTAACAAAAATTTATGGTCCATAATTTAAAAATAGTAGAAAACAAATAAACGGTAGATTGGGGAAAACAATGAAAAATGTTCGACATAGGAAGATAAGAAATATCAACAAATGTAATAAAAGTACTAAACCAATAAACGCACTAACAAGAGCAAACAATCGTGTCCTCAGAAGAAGAATATCTTAATATACAATGCGTGTTAATTTATCTGTAGTGATAAAGTACTTTCAAGTAGAATAAACATTTTACTGAAATCCAAAAATAACCAATAATACCTATAATAAATGTCAAAGTAAAATATTTAGAGCAACACTGGCTTGGATCTGAATAATTTTCACCCTCAATTTATAATATACTAAATGACTTGATTTTGGAGGAACCAAAATGGATACTGGAAGAGAAAAAGGTATAAAGAGCAACAGAAATAAAACTATTCATATGAAGCGAAAATAAGAGAGCGAAAGTAGAAGACAATAGATTCTGGTTCCACCTGTTATTCGCACTACCCAAGAAAAATGTAAGCCAAATCTGTATATGAAACCAGTACTAGATTATTAAAATACATAAAAAAACAAAAATTTAGATGGGTGCAAAAGCAAAGAGTATGCAACACAGTTAAAGTAGAACAAGGAACAAGTGGTTAGAAGCTATAAAAAAGACAAGAGAATTAGGAGTAGAAAACTGGAAGAAGGTAGCTCAGAACAGAACTAAATAAAAAAACTACAAAACAAGCAAAAATGACAATTATAAAGGAAATAAGAGTACCAGGAAAACACACAAGCCATGGGAGTACAAAACAAACAAGTGTTGGTCTTAACATTTTAAGAAGCATATAATTCCTTAACCATACTGCTTAAATTAATGAAGACGCTTCTTACGAATCGTGGTAACCTTTTTCAACTCAAGCAAGGATTCATCGAAATTCGGTGGCTGTTTCTTCAACAAACTACGCCTGCTTTTCATATTCCCGTTTTTAAGAAGAGTTTTTTTGTCAGGTATCGAATACGGCGAAGGTCTCGAAGGTCTGGAAGGTCGCTGCTTTGTTTCCTTTTTCTTGCGTTCTTCCTTTTCTTTTGTATCATCTTCATCTTCTTTTTCTGGTAGCGGACGTATTGGATACGGTGAAGGTCTGGAAGGTCGCTGTCTTGCTTTCTTTTTCTTGCGTTCTTCTTCTGTATCATCTTCGACTACTTTTTCAGGTATAGGACGTATCGGGTACGGCGAAGGTCTTGAGGGTCTGGAAGGTCGCTGCTTTGCTTCCTTTTTCTTGCTTTCTTCTTCTTCTTCTTCCGTATTACCTTTATTTTCTTTTCCAGGTATTGGACGTATAGGGTACGGCGAAGGTTCTTCTTCGTCTGTATCTTCTTCTGAATCATCTTCTGTATCATCTTCATCTTCTGTATCTTCATCGAGATCGGAATCGGCGAGTATGATCACGCTGTCTATTTTCGATCGTCTTTTGATATCGACGATCGATACGCTGAGCAAATCTAAGTTGTCCTCGTAAGTAGGTGCGTGATTGTGCTTTATGGGAGTGGTAATTTCAAAAACGTTGTCGGTTCTTTCGTAAAATCGTGCCGTACAACTAAAATGTCTTCTAACGCATATCCATGGCACCGGATTAATATCGTTTACTTCCTCCTCGAACTCGTAACCATTCAGGACTATTCGTTTCTTTGAGCCTTCCTCGAAATTTTTGTAGACCAGGACTAAAATAAAGAAAAGAATTAGAAAAAAAAACTTTTTTATAAAAATTCTATATAGACGATTCGAAATAGTTCATATGTATAGATTTTACGGTCATAAATTAGTTATTTAATTGTTATATTGGAAAAAACACGTAGAAAATTTGAAATTAGAGTCAAAGAGCGTGCAAAAAGAAAAATAACTGTTGCGGGTATTAAAATGTCGGTCTAATTTGGGTAAAGGACCAAGCGCACTTTTTATTCAAAATAGCTTTCTTTGACATAAAAAAGTTGAGATATATTTCCAGTATAAGCGGAAATGACAGAACTGTCAAAATATTTCAAATAGATAATAATAATAAGATAATAATTTGTTTACTATTTTTACCAAAATTAGTCCAGTGCTTTGTCAGATACAAATATAAACATTAGAACACATCAACAAAATAAGCATCATTAGGAGTTTTTTAACTTTAACAACCCTATACCTTAAAAAGTAGCAATACAATTTTATTGGTTTAGAGGTTAAGTATAACATTTTTGTTTAAAAAAAGCCATTTTAGATATGAAAGCGCGAGATCCTTTTGCCTCCAACAATATAAAATACCTATGCTGCATAAAAATGATTTAACAAGTTGAGTTCTTTGGATACACTAAATATTTATTTGTTTCTTAACAACATTTACAAATAAAGACGTTACAGGATTGTAGTTCCTCTCGACAGGCGGGTGATTATGGATTTCATTAAAAACGCATAAAGTCTTGCCGTATGTGGTCAGCCTAGCTTTACATTTTTGCAATCCCTTCATAGTACACGACCATATTGTCTTCTTCATAGTTTTTTTCTCCAAATTGTACTGATAATTGTCGAAAATCAATTTCGGGTGTTTGCTACCAGGAATAAAATGGATTTCTTGATAGGTTCCTAAAAGAAATTGTATTTTATGCAACCGATTGTTCACTATATAGTCTACGTCTTACGTTGTTGCATATAACGAAGTCTTAATCCATACAAACCACCTGTGGAAGTATCTGTATGCATTACAATTCAAATTGAATAGTAATTCACACGGATTTGGTCGGACGGAGGACTGATTGGTAAGCCAACTGCCAGGGCTTCAGCCGAGAACACTATACAACCCAGGCTGTGGTTCTTTAGGCGGGGGGGTTTAGCGACCACCATTTCCGTGAATTGCCACATTAAACATAGACTACAAACAGGACCACGAACTACGGTGGAAACTGTGTTTTTTTTTAGCTTTTTTAGAGAACAATAACCGAAACTAAGACAAATTTCTAAAACACTTTCAATTGCCGATTCAAGACCAAAAAAACTCCTTAATTAAGCCATTAGGACAAGGAGTTGAGAGAGGCTACAGTTAGCTTCATCATAATTTAGAACATGGCGGCATATTTTAGGCGAAGATACTCATCAATGGTGTGTGAACCTAGATGGTAGTTCTAATTAACTTTTTGCCATATTTTCGGGGATAGGACAACTTAAAATCAACAAATATTAGACAAAGAGGTTCAGAGGGCATTCAAAAAGTTTAGTTTGCTTAAAAAAAATACACATTTTTTATTCGCATCACTTCTCTTTTCTTACAACGTTTACAAGCAAAGATGACACGACACCGTAATTTTTTTCGATCTCCGAATGCGTGTGCGTGTCGTTATTAATACACATGGTGACCCCGTAAGTCGTTAGTCTCGCTTTGCATTTAAATTTCTTTCGCAAGTTGCACGACCAAACGGTTCTTTCGCGAGTCTTCTTTTCGATGTTGAACTCGAATTTGTTGTAAATTAATCTCGGGTTTTTGCAACCGGGAGTAAAATGGATTTCCTCCATGTTTTCTGTAAAAAAAAATTATATAACTATACTAAACGTCATACATTTTGACTAATTAATGTGTTAAAAGTTTCGGGATGTGTATGGTTTGACCTCGCCTCTAAAACTAATTAAGTAATTTTTGAAAGTTTTCGAATGTATATAAATTTACCTCATTCGCCTTTCCAAAGTTTCCTAATTTAGAAAGATTTACCTCACTCATTTCGCTAAAGATTCAATATTTGGTAAGAAAACAGAAATATCTACCAATATTTTAATTAACTAAGTATTGAAAGTTTCCGAAAATGTACATAGATTCTTACTCCACAAATACTACTATATACAGTTAAAGTGTGTCACTTTCCCAATGAAACATCCTGTATAATATTATCGAAGAATAACGATTTACGAGGTAGGTACTGTTTATCTAATCTAACAGCTATAAATTCATTTTGTAATTATCTTCTGAAAAACAATAACCAAAAACCCAGTTAACATTATTGTTTAAATGTTTTTAGAGTAGAAGGCCATTTCAGAATCTATGACCGAACTGTAAAAGGTCACTCAATTGCTAAATAAAAAGAGGAGAATGCCAGGTTAAAGGAATAAGAGTAGATAGAAAATTATTTAACACGTTATACGTTATTCTAATATATAATTCGTATTAAAACCCTATACAATAGTTGGAAAATTAAAAACAAAAAGTAAAAATAATTTTTATTAAGAACCAATGACAATATTTTATCATTTAGTAAAAAACTTCTTGCTTCAATACCGTATACTCAGTCAAATCAATATGAGTATTTAAATTCTTCTGGTGATTATGATTGTTCTTCATTCCGAGCACCTGCCGGTCTAAGGTTTTCGCCCTAGCCCTACATTTTAATTTCTTATGTAGAGAGCAACCCCAAAACATTCGCCTTCCGCTTCTTTTGTCGCAATAGAATACGAAACCATCGCTCACCAAGTGGATAACACCCTTATTACTTCTTATGAAATAGGCGTTGCCTATATCTAAAAATAGAAATCGTTAGTCTATTCGTTTTGATTGTATTCACCAAGGATCGGTTCTTGGTCCTCTATCGTTTATTATCTTTACAAATTACTTTGCAGAAGTTAGTGTAGTATTTATAGTGAATAATTGGCAAAGAAAAACAGTCAAAGAAAAAATTGACTGATAAGTAGCTACCCAAGCAGCAGACTAGTGATAACCATATTTTTTTTAATACGCTATGAAGATATAAAGGATACAGAAGCAAAAAGATGAATCTCCAATTAGTTAGGCATAAGAATTTATTGAGTAAGAACAGTAGATCCCGACAGGGTACCTATCCCTATATCCCATGTCAGTGAAAAACTATGAATATCCCAAACTCGTAAAGAAAAAAGATGAACAAATCAAAATAATTATTTAAAATATATTTAACAAAAATATAACATTAAAATAAAATTATAATCACAAATGACGCTCCATAAATAAACACAAACACATAAAATACATTTTTTAATATTTCTAAAACATATACAAGCGATAGTAGTTCTAGAGAAGTCAACTTTGCTTCGATTAAAAGTAACAGTTCGTAAACTACTACGGTGGCCTCTTCCCGTTGACAAGGAGTGGGAGTGATACCGAGGTAACAGAATGTATTCTGCTGACGTTAGTACCTTAGTTTTTTTTATCTACAATGTTGACATTGTTTAGGGTTTATTTTAAGACTATTTTACAGAGTTTTTTATAATATCGATACTTTAATTTTTTGAAAGCTGAGTTGCAAAAACAGCAGTGTAGTAGTTTACGAACCGTAACTAAAAGGATACTGCAAATATTTGAATCGTTAAGCCAAAAATAATGTTTACTTGTTTTCAACATTAATTATATTCACGATTTGCTTAGACAACGATAAAATCTTGGCATCGTTTGGAATATGATGAGGCGCATGGTTGTGCTGCCCGTTGAATATTTTAAGTATCTGACCGCTCATGGTGACCACTCGAGATTTACAACGATATTTTCGATTTTTACAAAACCACATCGTCTTGTCCAACTTTATCCTGTGTACGGTATATTCGTTATTTTCGAATATGATTTTTGGGTGCTTGTAGCCACGATCCACGTAGAGTATACCTAAAAATTAAAATGTATTTATGAGTGTTTGGTCGGCATAATAACTTAATTTTTATATAAAAAATATTCCTGAGGTTCAATAAGTCTAGAAGAATATCGAAAGATTTACCACAAAAAAAAATACAACCTGAAATAACCGGTAACAAATAAATTGTATTACTTGAAAAATACTTAAAAAATAGTTCGAGAACTACATATCAAAAATGTATGTACCTAAAATGCGGAATTCTTTATATAAAAGGTGTCTTAAGTTTAACTATAGATTCTTGGGATAAAAATAAGTGATGTAACTCAACTTACCTATATTTAAAAGTTGTCTAGTTGGCATATTTTGTGATACTAGTTATTGTATATTATATATCATTTAAATACTAGTAGAAGTAAATAATATGTATACATTTCAGATTTATTTAAAATGAAAGCCTATTGGTATATTTATTTATATTATATTCATATTTTTTGTAACATAAATTCCGTATACACACAAAACTACTTGATAAGGCGGATGGAGGATGACATTTTAGAGGTAGGTACGGTCTTTTATAATTTCTACTCATATATTGGGTAGTGTAAAGTGTATTTTCAGTAAATGATCTGTAGAATTGTTTTGTAGGTCGTTCATCCATATATCCATATTCATTTCTATACACGTGTTCAAACATATAAAATTAAAAGCATATGTTAGTTCATATTAAAAATTTATTTTAGTAATTCCTTCAATATTTCCTACATTTTACAACTACTGTTTTATAGGTAGATGCTTCTATGTGAGCACGAGGAAGCGAAATGTTTCTGCGAAAGCCTATAGTTAATAAGAGAGGTCAACGCGTCAATAGATCCGTGAAACAATGTGCCTACTTAAAATCAGTCAAATGACGTTATTTTGTGCATCGCACAAAATCAAGGCATGACGTCACAAAGTAGGGCAAGGCATACAAATATTTTCTTACAAATATTTTCTATCATTGATATAGAAAAATGCATTAACACTTCTACGTCATGTGGCAAACTTCAGCTAGTGAAGCTAGTCAGTTTTGGTGAGAATAAATATATTTTAAATAGCGTGATTTG